TCAGAAAGATTCAGGTCCACACTTCAAGTTCTTTTAAATAAAACTTTGGTTTATTGATTACATAGATTCATAAATATCTTCAGTAGTGAATCACATATAAACTCCCCAAACTACACATTCTCTTGCACACCCTGACTTTACTCTCAGTGACTCAATCTGACTTAAACTCCTTTAATCCTCACACTCTGACTGAAATATTGACTCAGGCTCCGCCTCTTATAGCATGTGTCTCGGCTCCGCCTCTCTGCAACATTAATATTCATAAACCATTATTTTACATAACATAGACCATAGATCAAATAAAGAGAGAACGCTACAGACCTCCCCCCTTAACTATGTTTGTTTGGGAGGGGAGACACCATTTTTCCTCCTAAACAAATAGATACAGTGGCATAACTTATACAGTGGTGCCTTGCTTAACGGGTGCCCCGTTCGATGAATCCTCATAGCGATGGCTTTTTTGCGATTGCTTTTGCGATTGCATTGCGATGTTGCCTGTGGGGAAAAATCGCGAAGCTGGGCGAAAATGCCAGCGGGTGCTTCGGAAGGACCGCCAGGGAGCCCTTCCCCGTGGTCCTTCCGGAGTGCCCGCCAGCCAGCTGGGCGAAAATGCCGGCTAGGGCTTTGCGAGGACCGCTTTTCTTCTCCGCGTCTCCTCCCATGCGGGAAGCTCCAGCTCCTATCCCATCTGGAGGAGGGGGAGGCAGAAGTGCCCGGGGGGAAGGAGCGGTGGCGCTTTTCTTCTCCGCGTCTCCTCCCATGCGGGAAGCTCCATCCCATCTGGGGGAGGGGGAGGCAGAAGCGCCCGGGGGGGAAGGAGCGGTGGCGCTTTTCTTCTCCGCGTCTCCTTCTCCTGTGCGGGAAGCTCTGGCTCCTATGCCAGCCGGAGGAGGGGGAGGCAGAGGCGCCGGGGGGGAAGGAGCTGCGGCACTTTTCTTCTCTGCATCTCCCCGTGTGGGGAGTGGCGGCGCTTTTCTTCTCTGCGTCTCCCTCTCCCCTGCCGACCTTGGTGAACATGAGGCAGCTTGGGCTTGGGAGCCGAGGTGGTGACTTGGTCACTCTTCTTCTCCGCGAGGCACCCTTGCACTGCCCATGCAGGAGGAAAAGGCTGCAGGCAGGAGGCGGGAGAAGAAGAAGAAGAAACGCCCCGTCGGCTCCTGAAGGAGAAGCCTCGCTCGGGTCTGGCGAACTCGGCGGGAAGCTTCGGCTCCTATCCCAGCCGGAGGAGGAGGAGGCAAAAGCGCTGGGGGGAGGAGCGGCAGGGCTTTTCTTCTCCGTGTCTCCTTCTCCCTTGCGGGAAGCTCCGGCTCCTACTCCAGCCAGAGGAGGGGGTGGCAGAAGCGCCGGGGGAGAGGAGCGGCGGTGCTTTTCTTCTCCACATCTCCTTCTCCCCTGCCAACCTTGGTGAACAAGGTGGCGGCTTGGTCGCTCTTCTTCTCCGCGAGGCACCCTTGCACTGCCCATGCAGGAGGAAAAGGCTACAGGCAGGAGGCGGGAGAAGAAGAAGTGCCCCGTCGGCTCCTGAAGGAAAGGCTCGCTAGGGTCTGGTGAACTTGGCGGAAAGCTCCGCTCGCCGCGTCAGCAGCAGTAGCAGAGGTGGCTCTGCTTTTCAGTTACCACCGGGGCGTTGAAGGCAGGAAGAGGCAGGTGCCACTTGATTGCGCGGAGTCCCCCGAGTTTTCGGGAGGGAGGAGCGGGGACACGAGGGTCCCGCTTGTGGCTTCCCTGAGGGGACAGTGCCCCAACACCTTGGCGTTTCCTGTCCCCCTGGAGCAAACTTTAAATGGTAACCAGGGATGTTTAAAAACCTCAGGAAAACAAAATGGCCTCCCACTGTTTTTCCTCGCTTAAGAGGCAGCGAAAATGGCGGCGCTATGGAGGATTTTCGCATACAGGTGAGTTTTTAAGTCAATAGGAACGCATTAAACACATTTTAATGCGTTTCTATGTGCTTTTTTAAATCGCTTAGTGATGAAATCACTTAACGACAATTTTTTGGAACGGATTAATGTCGTTAAGTGAGGCTCCGCTGTATATCATTTAACAGTTCAATAGGTAATGTCATTCAATATAACAATTTCCATTCTTATTACTATAAACATTTTAAACAACTATCATTCCTTATACTCTAAACATTTTACTAATTTCAACAGTATACTTTACCTTATCACTTATACTTTATAATTATTTTTCATGAACATTACCAACTGTACAGTAATCACATCAGGAAACTTATACATAAATAATTAACTGGTGAATCATAGTCCAGTTCAGTTTGTAATAAACTCCAGGTATCATTCTTCTGGTTCTGTCCATGGATATACAATTTTTAATCATGTTTGCAAGTAGTGTCCATCCCCCTTCCATCAGTCATTTGGCTTCCGAAGCACTATCTGAGTCTCTTTCGCAAAGTCCAAGGTTGCAACGTCCAAGACAGGCTCACTCCCGCAGTCATCTGCATGGTACCACACCTCTCCAAGTCCATAGCTTGAAGCATCTGTAAAAAGGTTGAACTCACGGTGGTAACCAGGTGCGCTGAAGACTGTTCCAGATGTTACCGCCTCCATCTGCTGGACACATGACTGCTGGCACTCAGGAGTCCCTCTGTTGTCCACAGGCTCCTTCCTCCGCAACCTCTCCTGTTGTCTGGCGGTCATCGGCCACTCGGTTGACCCCGGGATGTCGTCAGCTGGTTGTTTTATAGTGAAGCCTGCTCTCTTTCTGGCTCAGGGCTTCACCATCTCGTTTGGGGAAAGGATAGGCAATTTCCTCTCCTCCCTCCGACCCTCTCTGGATGCGTCCCTCTTTAAGACATCAGAGTGGATGCCTTTCTCCACATATTGTCCCATAAGTACTTTCTCAGAATTCTTTTTTTCCTATGTGGGAGAACACTATCATGGGTCACTTTAGGATTCTCAGGTTTGTCAAGTGCAATCTTAAATGATTGGTTGCTTCTAAACGCACTGCACTTGTCATCTGATTCTGGTTCTTTATTCAGGGGCATGTCAGGTAGAGGTTTGCTTTGCAACCTTTTATAATCTAATTGTTCTGCCTCTGTCAAGAGCAATTTTCTCCCCTCTATCGTTCTCAGTTCTACTACTTCTCTTTCCTGGGCCTCATACAAGCTTTTTACTTTTCCAGGAGCATCTCCCAAGCTTGGCTCTGCCATCTCAAAGGACTTTTCTTTATGTAAAAGCTCATTATCCAGGCAAGACCTTGCAGGGTATTCAGTGGGTGTACTAGTGTCTGTTTCAAAGCAATCTACCAAACTAATCTCCTGCTGCTCCTGAGCCAAACTATTTTCATTTGAGGTTTTAAGAAGCATGAGATTGATTGATTGATTGATTGATTGATTGATTGATTGATTTGTTTGTTTGTTTGTTTATTTATTTATTTAATATCCCACCTAGCTGGTTGGTTAAGATCAGCTACAGCAACACTCTTCAGCTGCGTAACCACGGAAACCTCTCTCTCAAAGCTCCTATATGATACTGTAACACTTTCAGCTGCAGTGGGTGATTCCTGGCCTCCTGGTGATAGTGTAAGTGGGAAAGCACTCTTAACATGCTCTATTAACTGCAATCCATCTCCATATATCAGGTCTTTGTCAGTCACAAATTTCTCTGGGTATTCAGGGGTTAGTGAAGTACTCTCTATCAAAGTACTATCTTCCTTCTGTTCCTCATTACAGGAAGGAACAGTAAGGGTTTTCACAATACTCTCAGCAGCCATTTTAGTTACGTCATGGTCCTTTTCTGAACTGGGGCATCCCTGGTTTGCTTCTAGGGTTTGGGAATCTATCTTTCCCTCAGAGGCCTCCACAGTTCCCAAACAGTATACTTTCTTGATCTGGCCATTATTCTCCACATTTTGAGGTTTATCTTTTGTACAAGGGTATGGTAAATGACCAGGCTTGTCGCTTTTGTAATTCCTTCTCTCATCCTCAAGAGATCTGGTAAATTTTTTCCTCAGAGTTCACTTGGTTCTGAGGACTAGGCCATACTAATTTAGCTGAGGCACCACTCTGGCCTTCGTTCCATGTTGTTTTGCTGAGGTAATTTTCACCAAAGGTCTGCTTATTGTTGTCCCAACTCTGCCTGCCAAAATCTACCTCAGACTGTACCTCCAACTGAAAGAGCAGTTTAATTTCCAACTCTATTTGTCTTTTTTCCTGCTCAATTGTCCTTTGAATGGCTTCCTGCTCAGCTTTCCTTTTCCTTTGTAATATACTGATTCTTTTTGTTCACTAATTCATCCATTGTAAATTCCAATTGTAAGCTCCATTTTTGAAAATCTAGGAAGCTTATAACACCTTTCCTCCCTGAGGAATAATACCCCTGAGCTTCATTTTGCTCAACTATTTCAGATAAAGGGTCTCTGTTTCTTCCCTCAATTTCTTGAGTAAAACCTCAGCCTCAGGATTCCCCCTGAACGTTTGGGTGGCATATTTACTTCTGGGATGATTACTACAGAGTGTGTATTTTTTTTAAAGGAACTGTTTTTCTTCTCTTACTTCCAGTCACTAAAATATTTCTACTTCAAGCAAAGGCTTTCTCCTTTCTTCCCTCAGATCTGCTCTGACCCCTGGCTTCTGCCTTTTCACAAGCACTCTCAACTCTTAGAGCCTTGTTTCCCTCCAAACCCATGACAGACAGGTAACATCAGTGCTGTATGTAACATTTCCTTTCAGAGTCATTTCCTAACTTAGACCCCCCAGATCTGGGTTCAGAAGCACCCACTACTAAGCTTTACCCAAAAGCTCTAGCGAGGAACCAAACTTCTTTGCCACAGACCTCTGTCTAAAAGGTACCCTTGACTCAGGGAAAATTCTTTTTAAAATCAGACTTGACTGGAATTCTTTGAGTTCAACTTAGGCTTCACTGGATTACTTCGTATCCCGCTGCTGAACACCAATTGTGACATCCACCCTCATGCCCCTTGCTTGACCTTTAAGCCCCAGAGCACATGAAGGCAAACCAACCTCACTCTTCTCACTTGCTGCCACCAGGTGATCTCTAAATCACCATTTAATTCAGAAAGATTCAGGTCCACATTTCCAGGTCTTTTAAATAAAACTTTGGTTTATTGATTACCAAACGGCGCATTCTCTTGCACACCCTGACTTTACTCTCAGTGACTCAATCTGACTTCAACTCCCTTCATCTCACACTCTGACTGAAATATTGACTCAGGCTCTGCCTCTTATAGCATCTGTCTCGGCTCTGCCCTCTCTGCAACATTAATATTCATAAATCATTATATTACATAACATAGACCATAGATCAAATAAATAGTGAACGCTACACTACTCTTTACCAGTTCTCGAGTCCAATAATCGAGCTGCATCACGTTCATCCACATTAACTTTTCCTTTTCTAACACTGTCCTTCCCCCCATGTTCATTTTTGCTAACCAATCCTTTAATTAAAATATTTGTTTTCTCTTTAATAAATTTGAAAAAATCCTTTCCAATTTTCTGGAAAATTCATGACAGTCATTGGAAGGATTAAAAAAAGAGAATTTAAAAATTGATTTTCGATACAGTTTTCATTTTAGATGAGAAAATTTGACCAAAGTGTGATATTCCTATAATCATTTAAATTATTTTTAATTTCTAAGATAAACTTTTCAAAATTTTACTTTTTCAAATCTTTTAATTTTAGTAACATTTATTCCTCCTTATCCTAGTCTATATAGTAATAGTATTTTTCCTCCTTATTGTACTAAAACAATGTCATCTCAAAATTATTCCCGTTTATTTCGTCCTTTCCCCACTGTTTATAACTGCTGCTGATCATGGCGATCTCTCCTTAAAAGGCATCTAGAACAGTGTTTCCCAAACTTTTTTGAGTCGTTACCCGTTTGTATAATTGCTACACAATCTACAATTTTCATTAAAAGGCATTTTAATGGGACAACAACATCACATCAAAATAGACTTTTCAGAATGGGATTTGATGCTAATAATTAAGGGAGAGCTGCAAATCTGCCTCTACAAAATGAAAATTGAGAAGGAAATAAAGTTAATATAATTTGAGGTACTTTTTTGGGTGTGGCAATGTTCCTTCCTTCATGACTCCTCCGCTCAAAAGGTTCCTCCGTAAGGTGCTCCTCCCACCTCAAGGCCAAAGAACACCCTCAGGTCCAGCCACACACACACCTGGTTTCCCTCCCTCACCTTTTTTGCCTGTCTTCTTCCTCCTCCATTACTCAGATGGAGCACAAATGCATTTCTCCTTATAACTGCAGATTTCTGAAGTGATTGTTTCTCTTCTTTTTCTAATCTACCAGATGAAGAACAGGAGAAGAAGAATCACCCAGCAACTCCTGGGGCATCCTCAGCAGAAATACATAACAAGGGAAAAAATCAGAGAATTGAAAATCCAACCAGGCAGGAATGGATGTAACATGATAGAACTCATGCAAAGGAGAAACCAAATAAATGCATGTCACCTCAGTAGACATCAAAGAACTCACACTGGGGAAAAACTGTATAACTGCATGGAATGTGGAAAGGGCTTCAGTTACAGCAGTGAACTGAGTAGACATCAGAGAACTCACACTGGGGAGAAACCATATACATGCATGGAATGTGGAAAGTGTTTCAGTCAGAGCAGTGCCCTGAATTCACATCAAAGAACTCACACCGGGGAAAAACCATATCAATGCATAGAATGTGGAAAGAGTTTCAGTCAGAGCTGTCAACTGAGTTCACATCAAAGAACTCACACCAGGGAGAAACCATATCAGTGCATAGAATGTGGAAAGAGTTTCAGTCAGAGCTGTCAACTGAGTTCACATCAAAGAACTCACACCAGGGAGAAACCATATCAGTGCATAGAATGTGGAAAGAGTTTCAGTCAGAGCTGTCAACTGAGTTCACATCAAAGAACTCACACCAGGGAGAAACCATATCAGTGCATAGAATGTGGAAAGAGTTTCAGTCAGAGCTGTCAACTGAGTTCACATCAAAGAACTCACACCAGGGAGAAACCATATCAGTGCATAGAATGTGGAAAGAGTTTCAGTCAGAGCTGTCAACTGAGTTCACATCAAAGAACTCACACCAGGGAGAAACCATATCAGTGCATAGAATGTGGAAAGAGTTTCAGTCAGAGCTGTCAACTGAGTTCACATCAAAGAACTCACACCAGGGAGAAACCATATCAGTGCATAGAATGTGGAAAGAGTTTCAGTCAGAGCTGTCAACTGAGGTTACACCAAAGAACTCACACTGGGGAGAAACCACATAAATGCATGGAATGTGGAAAGAGCTTCAGTG